AATCTGGATCTTCTATATAGGGCTTAAGTTGATTGATCATTTTGTCAGATATGTTGTCTGTATCATATTCTTGTAGAGCTTTTAGAAAATTGGCATCTCCTAGTATGGTTTTAGCTGAAGTCCAATCAGTTCTAGACAAAAAGATACAATTAGAATAGTAACTAATTAAACTTTAGGTAAGTACCTAAGTATGAGCAGCATCGTGTTAAAAAGTGTACTATCACCAGGAAATTAAATGGTTATATTTATGGTATCCTTTTTTAGAATTGTATAGTAAAAATAAAGGAGTTATAACTATATCGTTATTAATGTATTTAGATATAGCCATTTAAACATTTTAACTTTTTAAGTATTTTTATTATAAATTTATTATAAAAAGGCACTTTTTTAAAAATACAAATACACTCCTTAAAAATTTTACTTCTCGAGAAAATTATCCCTTTAACATAACCTCACCTATTGATTATATATATAAAATCTTATGATTACTTACTTTTTTGCCAATAATAAACATACGGCTTCCATAACAGTCTGAACTAGTTTATGTGGCTTGCTCAACATTTTAAGCTCATTTATATCGTTTTTATTGAGTGACTCTAATGCCGTTTTGGCCGCTTCCATTGCCGGCATAGCTAGAGTAAGGTCCCTTTGCGCGTCTTCAGCTATTTCCTGCGCGGCTGAAGCTTTCATTTTTGCTGCTGTCTCTTCCAGAAGTACTGTTTGTCGCACCTTATTGACGCTCGCTTTTTCTCTAGTCAAGCCATCCATTAGCTTTRAGGTGGCTTCATTTTTCTCTAATAGTTCTGGTGCCATAGATTTCAATTTTGTTTTCATATCTCCCACCATGTCAAATGTCTCGTACAACTTACGCAGACCATTAGAAATTCGGTCTGAATCGTTTTTAATTTTATTAGTTAGTGATTCCCGCATTTTCACGTACAACTTCAAAAATTCCAAATAAGTCTTAAGTGTTACGTAGCAGCGCCTTGTTGTTTGCCTGTAAAACTTTTCAGTGGCTTGACTGATCATCAAATGCATGTTGCGGCATACATCCGTTAGGCTGTCAACAAGGTTGGGGTTTTCTGGTTGTCCAAATGCATCTTCTAAACTTTGGTGAGCCACAGACAAAAGAGCTTCGGTCGGCCAATCGTCAAACCAATCTATTGTCGAATTATAAATCAACGAAGGAAATAGCCGACATCTCTGTCTAAACGCAACGCCGATCGAGTTAATGGATATGACAAGATGAAGTTTAGAACGAACGCGCTGTATGAAAAATTTGAACATCGATTCTTGGTCCTGGCTGTCAATTCCCACACTTAATGCTGCCGGCCGGCAAGCGGTTATCACCTTCGCCAAGTCATCATGCTTAAATAAATCTGGAACTTCCCCTTGAATAAATAATAATTAGTCATATTATTAATTTTAGTGTCATACTTGTACCATATATTGATTTACCTGAGCTTAAAATATTGCTTACATCTTCTAAAAACTCTTCTTGTACTATCTGATTATCCGTAAATAAAAATGTGGTTTCTTCAAATTTCACGCCAGTGTTGAGATAAAGATTTACTAGATCTTTACGAAATGTAGTATGATTATATGATTTTGTTAACTCGATTTGAAAACATCTGAATATATAAATATAAGCAAATTGAAATTGAATTTATTGTAGACATAAATTGTTTTCATGTTTTTATGCTTGTACCAAAAGAATTTTATTATGAAATATACTTACTTGAATGTGTTAATATGTGAAGACAACTTTGTCAATGATTGTTTTCCCATGCCATTAACACCGACTAATAAAGCGTTTCCTCTTTCGGATCTCAATATTCTCGCAATGCGTGTGACATGCTCAATGGCATCCATGAAAAATATGATGTGCATGTCTTTATTATGAGCTATATTAAAATCTGTTAAGTATTCGATCAACGTGGTTTTTAATTTATCGATATCAATTATTTCTTCGTAAATCCGCTTCTTTCTTGAAACCGGATTCACAAAATCACCGAATAATAACACTGGAGAATGTGATGAATTTGTGTCTACAGATATGGAAAAGTCTAACACAGTGGTGTTAAAATAACGTGTGCACACGTCCTGAAGAATKTCAAATAAATAAGACTTGTCTTTTTGACAAACCAACCGGTCGTGATACACACGCAATGTTTCATGATACCATAGTCTGCGATAAAGATAAATAAAACATTATTTTATCCATAAATACTCTCAAGTATGTAATACATGAGTTGTATAGATTTTATATATATTATATTATAAGTTTTAAATATTGGCTGTGCATATTTAAAAAAAATTAATTTGATTCTAATTAATATAATAACTCTTTTCATTTCTATAAATGAAATTTATTTGTATATTTTTCCCCTCTGTAGGAGAGAATTAGAATAATCCCATTGTCCCTCAGAGAAGTAAGAATAAGGAATTTAATGTATGGTAGAAAAGCAGTAAGAGAGAAGATTAAACAGAGCATAAAAATACATGTAAAAGAGTTAAGTGTGAGATAAGCTGAGCGAAGGTTAAGAAATATGATGAGTTATATGAGCTGCTAGAAATGCACAAAGGAGGAAAAGAAGTTTATAGACTGGCTAAGGTGATAGATAAGCGATCTAAGGTATTTCAAAAAGTTTGGCGTATAAAAAAATGAGAACAAGAGGGTTTTTACAAACGATAACGATGTAAAAAAGAGATTGAATGATTATTTTGAGAAATTTCTGAACGAGGAGTATTTAAAAGTTGTTTTGGAGGGTAATTTATGGAATGAAGAATTTAATGGTCTAGTTAGTGAATAAGAAGTGAAGATTGTGGTGAAGGTAATGAAAAAGACAAAAGTAGTAGTATCAGTATCTGTATCTGTAGAGGCGTGGAAATTTTAGTGGATATAAGGTTTGGATGGTTGAAAGATCTTTTTAATAACGTAATAGGGAAAAATTCCAGAAAATTGGAGAAAGAGTTTTATTGTACCAATATTTAAAGGAAAAGGAGTCATACAATAATGTAGGAACTACGGCGAAATAAACCTTATGAATTATAGTATGAAGATTATGAGAAATTTTATATAGCAGAGAATAAAAAATCAGAAACCCCGTAAGAAATAAATAAAAAGCTATGCATGGGTTTTTTAGATTTAGAAAGGGCGTATGATGGAGTGCCAAGAACAGTTAGAATGTGGGCTTTAATGAGGAAATGTGTCTTAAAAATGTACATTAATTTGATTCAGGATATGTATGAAGGATGATCGAGTAATCAAATGTGCAAAGAGTCTGTGTGAAGTAACAGGGGATTTTAACGTACGGTTAGGTATTAACCAGGGGTCAGCTCTAAGCCCTTACTTGTTCTCTGAGGTAATGAACGAAATTATTAAAGAGATATAGGGTGAGATACCTTGGTGTATGTTGTCTGATGATGATATAGTTCTGGTAGGAGTGAATCTAGAAGATGTTAATAATAGGTTGGAAGAGTAGAGGGTAACTCTTAAAGGAAAAAAATTGGGATTAGTAGAAATAAAACAGAATATATAGAGTATGAATTTGGAGGGAAAGACCAAGAAGTTGGAAGGATGAGGAGACCAATGACAATTGGTTGTAATTTGATAGGTAAAGTCGATAGCTTTAAATATTTAGAATTGTTTGTACAAAGGGACGGGGACTTTGGCATGGATTTAAAATATAGGATTAAGTATGGGTGGATAAAATGGAAAGAAGTGTCGGTCGTATCATGAGATAAGAGAATTCCAATGAGGCTATAAGGTAAATTTTACAAGATTGTAGTGAGACCAACCATACTATACGGTTAAGAGTGTTGGGTGATTGACAGAAGGATAGAATAAAATATGAGTGTCAGCATAATGAGAATGCATAGATGGATGAACAAATGGAGTGATAAGATAATTTTAAATAAGGAAAGAATATGCGAGAAGTAGTATTGATGGAATGTTGATAGTGGATTAGATGAGAGAAAATAGATTGAGATGGCTTGGGCATGTGATGAGACGAGATGAAATAAAAGCAGTAAAAGTAGTAATGAAAATAAATGTTGATAAGAAAAGAGGAAGAGGAAGACCAAAAAAGAGATGGGTATCTGATAGATACTGCTGAGAATGATATGAGACTTGTTGGTGTGTGCATAAGGATTGTGGAAAATCATGAAAAGTAGAGATGTAGGACACAGGTGAACAACCCTGAATAGTTTGGTAAAAGGCAGGTTGAAGAAGAAAAATAATGTATTCGTATTTTTTGGGACATCATTTTTTAATTATAAATCTAAAAGAGAGAGAACAGTTTATACTTTTTTAGCTTAACTAATTTATAGTTGTTAGTCGCATGACTACTGCAATATACCTGTATAAATGTGTTTGGTCCGGTATTGTGATGAAATCAGCTTGTAAGATTCCTTGTATGGTCTTCGACAAATCTCTAAGATTAAACACATAATGTGGCTTAGTTGGAGTTGGTAATAAGTCTTTTGAAATACACAAATACGTTTCAACACTGGCTTGCACTATTTTTGAACTAGAATCAGCTATATTTTGTGGGAACGCTTCGAAAAAACCATCCAAAATGGATGTGAATATAGTTCTCATGGAATTTTCACTCATGCTTGGCATGAAAATTACTGAAAAATGTCTTGTGAATCTTGGAGTTAGTAAATTTCGCCCTCCTCCTGGAGGTGCGCAGATTGTGCATAAAATCACGTTCTCGATGTCTTTCCAATCCAGCTTATCTTTATCATATATGCCACCGGAATCTAAAAGCTGTCTTAGTAGTTCAATAGGAGGTTGGGCACCATAAGCTTCGGGTATAGGCATGTTGACATCATCGATAAAAAGCGCCAAACGCTTATTTAACGGTGCACCGAAATGATTTCGATTTTTCTTCACTAATTTTGACTCCAATACTTCTTGGGTTCTGTTAATATTTGTGTATGCAGAAAATTGTATCGTTTCAGTTATCCAGTCACCCTTATTCCTCAAGTCTTGCATGACACAATTTGCTACTGAAGTCTTACCTACGCCTAAAATGATTGTACAATTGTGGTATGATAGAAATACATTTTAATTTACTAGTCTTTATTTATTTATTCCCACCTGTTGTTCCAGTCAACATAACTGGTTGGTTCATTTGTACTATTTGTTGTACAATGTATGTATACCGAATGCTATCTATGGTAGGTACTATTAACTCATAATAAGGTGTAACTGATTTGTACACAAAATCTGGAATGATAGTATTCCATTTTTCAAACTTTTTATTTTTTGTGTTAAGATATACGTTGAATAATTTCATTCCTGGTTGAATACCATACTCAGATATGTCTGAAAATTGATTGAAAACTAAATTTTCGAATTTTATCTGAGAAGAATCGACTAAATTTGATCCCAGAGACCAAAAATATGAAAATATAAATGATTGATAAATATATTTTTGGACATTTGAAATTTCTGTTGGTGCATCAAAACTATCTAGGTCAGTTAATAGAGATTCGAGAATGGTACACATCATTTTTGCTTTACTAATATCAACCTGAAACAAAGTATAGTTATAGTATCAATACATATCTTTTTTCTAATTTTTCTTTGAAATTTTATAAATGAAAAAATAGTTGTACCTGTTTAATGGGAGCCAAACAATATTTGTTAATAAATGAAAAACCGTCATTGACATAAGTTTCGAATAATGATAAAAGATAATTTTTTAATTCTGAACTTCTAATGACATCATTTTGTAATCTATTTGCCCACGATTGCACATATGGTAACCATCCTAGATCTCTGGTGTCTATATAGACAATTCCACATCTGCTAACTGTAGCAGGCGATGCTTGTGATAAATCACCAACTTCAAAAACCAATCTAAACTATAAATTATAATTTTACATTATTTAATTAAAAATTAATGTTAAAAATAATAACCAATAATTTAGAATATAAAATCTTTACCCAAGAGCTCAATTTTAGGCGTTCGGAATTGGAAAGACACAAAATCTTATTGTCGTCAAGAACGGTATTTAGATTTTCGACCCATATTGCATCTACGGGGCCGTCGCATACCACCCACTGAAATTCTTCCTTTTTCACTTGAACTGTTTTTCTTATAATTTTTCCAAGTAACCCATCTCTCCATTCCATTGTAACAAGATCCAGTTGGCCGTAAAGTTCGCTAATGGAAATTGCTTTAGGATTCAGTCGATATAGGTTTACTGGTCTGTAATGTTGATTTTCAATTTTTTTATTGTAAAGCTCAGATAATGATTTTTCAAGTATTTTTAAAATCGTAGTTTTTCCACTTCCCGCCGGACCAACAGTCATGATACCATGCCGGACAATTATTGTCTGCAACAAGTGTATAACTTTTACTTCAATGCATTCATTAATTTGATAGCCTTCACTTTCCATTACACCTTTGACAGTCGAAAGGAATATTTCATAATCTTGTTCTGGTAAAAAAAATCCGGGAAATAGATCGTTTAATATATCCTAAAGTTTAAAATATATTAATATTCATGCATTATGTATTAGAAATTTAAGATTGTATACTGCACCTTGAATAAAATTGCATCATCTTTTAGAAATTTCGGTAAATTACAATCTCTCAAAGCTCTGATAACTACTAAATTTTCTTCTACAATAGGATTTTCTCGTCTTAATAAGCCCGCCATTACTAAAACACTTTTTATAGCTCTACAATAATTCAAAAGAGTTTTCAATTAAATTATAATAGACAGGTACTTGAAATAAATAAATTACTGATTACCTCATTCCAAAATCATAGTGGTTCTGAATGGAAAGTTGTTCATTACATAATTGATACGTTTTTACTATTTTATGAGACAACATTTTCGACAATTGAAATCCTCCGGCGTACAATTCAACCTCGACAATTAAACTATAGTCTGGTATCATCATAGCCACAGATCTAAACAACGCTTGTAGATTATCTGGCAGTTTGTTTCTCCCAACATATTCTGGATTTATGGTTATAAATGCTGCACATGTCCTGATAAGTCTAATCTCTCGACCTTCAAAAGTGAACTTATTGGCGTTTGTCAGTTTCGCGTTTGTTATAGTGATTAGCTGTTGTGCGATGACCGATAGTACTTCGATTTCTACCCGGTCAAATTCGTCGAAACAACACCACACTCCAGATTGAGCTAAGCCAGAAAAAAATCTACCCATTGTCTACAATAAAAGAGAACATTCTTAAATATTTTTTTTTTTTT